CCCCCCCCCAAAAAAAAAAAATAATAATAATCCTTGATCCCCCCCCCCTGCTTCCCAGTGATACACTCAGATACACTGCTGTCGAGTAATGTATTATTTTTTGGATTCCTCATTATGAGGAAACGTATTGTTTCTTTTAGGCTTGTATGAAAAGTTGTGTTCAAACTGTTACCATTGAGGAGTGTGGATGCAGTCTGATGAATTGCCCCAACCCCAATAAGACCAGGCTGTGTGCCATAAACACTAATTCAACTGATTGTAAGTAGAATTAAACGGCTGTACCAGAAAAACTGTGAGTTTCACAGTGTACTGGAAACCCAGTCCTCCAATAACAACTCTGAAACTCGTGGTAAGAAATAACAATTAAAGGGCTGGAGGACGCCAGGAATACGCACACCGCCCCTTAAGCTTCCCATTTAAAGTTTTTGGTTTCTTTGTATGAATTGCTGAGTGAAATGAGCGTGAAATGAACGTGCCATATTTCTATACAAGCATGTATTTTACTTCTATTTAACTCCTTCCATATCACTGCTTGACCTGGGCATTTATCTTCCCGTTATTATTATTGTTTACATAAAGCAAATGTCAAAAAATACAAGTATGCCAAAGTTGGAGATATATACCTTTAAGCCAATGATATTTTTCATCAAAAATGTAAGGGGAAATTCAGCTTAAGCTTTAATAGGTAAGATTCATCTGGGCTTAAATTTTTTAGCAATTAACTGCATTTTCAGACGAATGCACTCAGAGGATGCACCGGCAACTTGCCAGCAGATCTTATGACGCGTGTTCGTGTCCGCAGCGCTGCAGGTAAGGAAAGATTTTCACTTTTAACCAACAGGCGCTTAAGGGATTGGGTAGCAACAATTTTAATTTAATATTTATGTTTTCTCATTTTGTAGTGAAAATCTATACCATCTTACTGTTTCATCGGCAACATGGCCCTCTGAGAGTTACCGCGAATCGGTGAGTGATAATAGATCATTATAAATGGTGTCAGTTTCAACTTGAATTGGTTAGATTTACTTAAAAAAGGAAAATCAGTCAACATTGAATTACCTTTTTTTATAATAACTCAGGTTTTGGCAAGTACGTGGAAAGATAAAATGAATTTCTGCTTCAGGCATTTCTGAGACGAGAAGTGCTTTCCGCCTATAACTCAACCCTAAGTCCGGCGTGAGTATGACCATTACGTCTTGCAGTTTTTCATAAATTTCTTTATTCTTGGTAATTATAGTAATTACAAAATAATTGATATTTAGTATCACAATGTGGCTTACAGTTCACTTAACGTGCGTTTTTAACTTTTAAGGCCGTTTTCTTTATTTCAGTGAAAACTTGCTCAAGCTGGAAATATATATCAGTGACATTAATGTGATGAAAATCGAAGAACACCCGTCATATTTGGTATGTAACGTTTCATTTTATAGTCTATGAGGTGACCCTTGATATCGTTTTAAAACATTTCCATTTTCTCGAGAGTAATTTTTGTTTATAGGTTTTGCTAAAAGAAGTAAAAATTAATAAATATTGAACACCGATAACCACATTCAATTCATGCCAAATTTTAGTCGTCGATAAAAGGCATTACTCTTTGTCCCTTCGGAACAATTTATCACTCCTAACCAATGGGGAGACCTATATTGCCGGTAATAAGGCTTATTTGACCTTGGCGTTTTTTGAAGGGACTTGGCTTGGTTGGTCAGCACTACTCACTCGCACTCTTCTGCCTTTCCTCTGATAGTAACGGTCAAGTTCACAAGAGAATAGTTGTCAATCTGAATGCTCCTATTGGCTGGTCAACTCACCACATTGATAGGAAAAAAGTTCCAGTCTAAATGTTCAAATCGTGGCATAATGGCAAGGAATATGAAGTTAGCGGACCCAAAAGTAATTGCATTGGGGCACTTTATAAGACTAAATTTATAAGACTAAAAATATTTTACACTCGCAAAAATGTAACACCATGTCCATTTCTAAGCGAATTTTTCAGCCAGACCTAAGGGCTATTTGATTACTGATTTTCCACGTTTCCAAAAATACTGTCTCTTCAGAGCCGCATACATGAACTCGAAGAGCCTTTGTTTTTCCAGGCTGCTAACCTCTTTGCAGACGTTGGGGGTTTGGCTGGCTTCTACATAGGTGCGTCAGTGTTTACTGCCGGAGAGTTCTTGGAGTTTGCGATGGACTTGGTGATTGCCTTCATCTTTCACCGAGGCAGCTGCCGTGTCCCAAGGTCAGGCCAAAAAAAGAAGGGTTCCGAAGAACACGATTTAGAACAATGCACAACGGTCGAACTATATGTATAGTATACTATTTATTGTAAATCTTATTTATTTCATTTATTTATTTATTTTTGCGGGTCAATTACAAGATAAGTACACTAGTTTCAATTATGCCAATGTTTTGATAGAATCTTATCCATATTTTTTATTACATCCTTGGACTTTTGGTAGTTATGTCTAAATCTTCCCTTACGAAAATCTCCTATAGGACGGCCTAAAAGACTCTCTTTTGAACTCTGTAGGAACCCTACAGGATTTTATGGGACTCTATAGGAATTTTATCGAACGTCCTTTATAGGATTCCTATCTAGGACATGCGTCAATTTGGACCCAAAATATACTGGGTTCATTTCCTATGGACGCCCTGTGGGACCCTATAGAATATTTCCGTGACTTTTAATAAATGCAGTAAGAGGTTTTTTACCCTTTTTGCTATTTCTCTTATGTTTTCTTGTGTTATTAATCGGGGGGTTTTACATCACAATCTTGATGATTTTTATTTCATCATTACTAATATTATTTTACTTTTATACCAGTTTTAAAATCTCGGACAGAAACCTATTTCTGATATATATTTTACATTCAGGGGCGGATTTAGGCCGTCTTCTGGGTCTTCCAGAAGACGGTCAGATTTTCAAGTTTACATTGACGGGTATCCAATTTTTAATGTTGGAAGACGGTCAAAATTGGAGGATGAATCAACAAAGATAATTTGGAAGACTGTCAGTATATAGCTCTGGATCCGCCCCTGTTTTACATGTATATTAGCATAAGGAAATTTTAATTTTAATTAAAAGGGTTGGAGACCTGAAATTGCAATTTGCTTGAATGAAGGATTAACATATGGTGCTTTGTATAATATACTTTGATTGACAGTTTAATGCTTAATTTAATATATAAAGTGTAACGAATGAATAAATAATTCGGCAGTATCATGGGCGGTCAGTGGGTGGTACTCGTACTTGAGCATACCTATTCTTGCAAATAGCTTCTCTTTTTATGACTGTTTTACACGTGTTTGTACACATGGATTTTTTCATTGCCGTCAGTTGAAAGAAAAAAAAAACGATTTAAAATGACTAGAGTGTCGTGGATGAAGTTTTGTAATCTTTTTTGCTTGTTTTAATAGAAATAAAGGTGTATGACAAAAATAACTTACTATAATGAGATTTTTTATCATCTGACCCGGTGGAAGATTTGAATAAATGTTACCTTAAACTGGTGACGCATTACGCCCCCTCTCGATCAAAATTATGCCTTTTTTTCTTCAGGTAATACGTTGCCTTTTTTAGAGTCCGATGTTAAATTGGCGGCCTATGCTGTTTTTTAAAAAGATAAAATGTACAGATTCTTTCACATTTATTTCCCTGAATTCATTTCTTTATTAACAACTAGAAATAGAAAAACCTGACAAAATGAACATAACATGCTTTGAAACTAATTTTTACGGAACAAAAACTTTAAAATATTGATATAAAATTAAAAAGTAAATTTCTGTACATGTTGTATTATTAAATAAGGTGTTTGTACAAAAGATCCATACGTTTCCTTTGGGTTTCGAGTTTTATTCTAAATAAACTGAAAAGTTATGTGATGTTGAACAAATCAATTAAGACAATGAAATAATATATCTACATCCCAATTACACTGTACAAGTCAACTCTGTAAATACGCACTTATTCAAAATATCGATTAAAATAATGATAAATGATGCGCTATAAATTTGACTTATTGAATTTATAATTATTTCTACTCGCTGTTATCTGAATAGCGACACAAGTTTATGTGATAACAAACGGGCTTACTTGAGCAATTAATATAACGCATGCAAAATGTGGATTTCTTGCAGTGTTTTTTAAATATCTTAAGTTCGTGCAATTCAAACGTGACACTGAGGCATTGTGATTCGTGAATAATAGCAGATGTATGGTGCTCAAAAGCAGTATTTGTCAACCGATCAACAAACAAGCTGGTGTTTGATGCGAATTGAATAAGAGGTTGCATACAGCACATACAGTTTAAATACACATGACTGCACGTATATATATATTGTCTACAAAGACATTGCATCGGTTGACAATACATAAAAATTTTATGTATGAGTATACAGAAAATGGCATTTGCTTCGTAAGGTTAAATAGGTCTATTGTTATGGTCATTTTACTTCCTCTATACATGTATCAATATCTATCATCCCACAAATATTTTCATGTGATTTTTATGTGAGTTTTCAATACAATACAATTTCATCCAAAGAATTGAGTCATTATACAAAGTTATCCGTTTTTGAATCAGTTCCCTTACCAGCAGGCTTTATGACACTAAAACGGATTTCAGAAAAATTTCAAATTCTTTCCTCCTGGTTTACTAAATTAAATGCAAAAGAACAGTAATCCCCTGTGTTCATTCATCATGTTTACAACGACGTGCGTACTTCGCTGTATCCTATGTTGTCAATTCCTCCAGGATGGGCACTGGAAAAGAAAGGCAGATCATGATGCTGAAAATGTCGTAATGGAGGCAAAAACTTTAAATAACATTTTAAAAATATTTTTAAAAATTCAATGTGGTTTAACACATGCACACCCGTGATTTGGGGCCATCTTAACAAATGAAAAATGAAACGCAAGATTTTGAAAATTGCTGTTTGTGTCCTTATATTATTTTTAGGCTAATTAAAATTACCATTTTAACGATGAAAAATCTTCAACTCACTCATTGGTCTTGGAATCATTCACTTCGTTCACAGTAGACGCTGATTGCCCGTTATTCACCCTACCCTCGCTGAACGTGCTTGTGTTGGTGTAGTGGTGTGCCTCGGTGCCCCTCTCGTCTACATCCGGGCCCTGCATACCATTCTGAGGCAGCTCTGAGGGTCCAATCTCAAAGCTTGCCATTTGAAAGCCCTCCTTTTTTCTAGATACATTAGAAATAGAATATAAATATGCCGATTAGTGTCAATGTCAAGGGTTATTATCTGAAACATTAACACTTTTATTGATATTAATGTCAAGCAAAAATAAAGAGAAATGGCCAGCAAACGTGCGTAGATTTGTTAGATTCGTTAGGTTACGTTACTACTTCGTTTAGGTACTTAAAATCGCTTAGGCCACACTTTTTTATTTTTATGGATGACATCCTCTGGGTACCCCAAAATCGGTGCGAGAGGGCGAAAAAAAAAAACGGTNAAATAATAATCCTTGATCCCCCCCTGCTTCCCAGTGATACACTCAGATACACTGCTGTCGAGTAATGTATTATTTTTTGGATTCCTCATTATGAGGAAACGTATTGTTTCTTTTAGGCTTGTATGAAAAGTTGTGTTCAAACTGTTACCATTGAGGAGTGTGGATGTAGTCTGATGAATTGCCCCAACCCCAATAAGACCAGGCTGTGTGCCATAAACACTAATTCAACTGATTGTAAGTAGAATTAAACGGCTGTTCCAGAAAAACTGTTAGTTTCACAGTGTACTGGAAACCCAGTCCTCCAATAACAACTCTGAAACTCGTGGTAAGAAATAACAATTAAAGGGCTGGAGGACGCCAGGAATACGCACACCGCCCCTTAAGCTTCCCATTTAAAGTTTTTGGTTTCTTTGTATGAATTGCTGAGTGAAATGAGCGTGAGATGAACGTGCCATATTTCTATACAAACATGTATTTTACTTCTATTTAACTCCTTCCATATCACTGCTTGACCTGGGCATTTATCTTCCCGTTATTATTATTGTTTACATAAAGCAAATGTCAAAAATTGCAAGTATGCCAAAGTTGGAGATATATACCTTTAAGCCAATGATATTTTTTCATCAAAAATGTAAGGGGAAATTCAGCTTAAGCTTTAATAGGTAAGATTCATCTGGGCTTAAATTTTTTAGCAATTAACTGCATTTTCAGACGAATGCACTCAGAGGATGCACCGGCAACTTGCCAGCAGATCTTATGACGCGTGTTCGTGTCCGCAGCGCTGCAGGTAAGGAAAGATTTTCATTTTTAACCAATAGGCGCTTAAGGGATTGGGTAGCAACAACCTTGATTTAATATTTATGTTTTTTCATTTTGTAGTGAAAATCTATACCATCTTACTGTCTCATCGGCGACATGGCCCTCTCAGAGTTACCGCGAATCGGTGAGTGATAATAGATTATAAAAATGGTGTCAGTTTTCAATTTGAATTGGTTAGACTTACTTAAACTGGAAAATCAGTCAACATTGAACTACCTTCTTTTGTAATAAGTCAGGTTTTGGCAAGTACGTGGAACGATAAAATGAATTTCTGCTTCAGGCATTTCTGAGAAAAGAAGTGCTCTCCGCCTATAACTCAACCCTAAGTCCGGCGTGAGTATGATCATAACGTCTTGCAGTTTGTTTTCATAAATTTCTGTATTCTTGGTAATAACCGTAATTACAAAATAAATAAATAAAGTTTAGTATCACAGTGTGGCTCACAGTTCACTTAACGTGCGTTTTTTAAGGCAGTTTTCTTTATTTCAGTGAAAATTTGCTCAAGCTGGAAATATATATCAGTGACATTAATGTGATGAAAATCGAAGAACACCCGTCATATTTGGTATGTAACCTATCATTTTATAGTCTATGAGGTGTCCCTTGATATCGTTTCAAACCATTTCCATTTTCTCGATAGTAATTTCTGTTTACAGGTTTTGCTAAAAGAGGTAAAAATTAATAAATATTGAACACCGATAACCACATTCAATGTGCCAAATTTTAGTCGTCGATAAAAGGCATTACTCTTTGTCCCTTCGGAACAATTTATCATTTCTAACCAATGGGGAGACCTATATTGCCGGTAATAAGGCTTATTTGACCTTGGCGTTTTTTGAAGGGACTTGGCTTGGTTGGTCAGCAGTTCTCACTCGCGCTCTTCTGTCTTTCCTCTGATAGTAACGGTCAAGTTCACAAGAGAATAGTTGTCAATCTGAATGCTCCTATTGGCTGGTCAACTCACCACATTGATAGGAAAAAAATTCCAGTCTAAATGTTCAAATCATGGCATAATGGCAAGGAGTATAAAGTTAGCGGACCCAAAAGTAATTGCATTGGGGCACTTGGAACTTATAACACTAAAAATATTTTACACTCGCAAAAATGGAACACCATGTCCATTTCTAAGCGAATTTTTCAGCCAGACCTTATGGACTATTTGATTACTGATTTCCCACGTTTCCAAAAAATACTGTCTCTTCAGAGCCGCATACATGTACTCGAAGAGCCTTTGTTTTTCCAGGCTGCTAACCTCTTTGCAGACGTTGGGGGTTTGGCTGGCTTCTACATAGGTGCGTCAGTGTTTACTGCCGGAGAGTTCTTTGAGTTTGCGATGGACTTGGTGATTGCCTTCATCTATCACCGAGGCAGCTGCCGTGTCCCAAGGTCAGGCCAAAGAAAGAAGGGTTCCGAAGAACACGATTTAGAACAACGCACAACGGTCGAACAATATGTATAGTATACTATATAGGCCTTTTGTAAATCTTATTTATTTATTTTATTTATTTTTACTAGCCAATAACAAGAAAAGTACACCAGTTTCAATTATGCCAATGTTTTGATAGAATCTTATCCATATTTTTTTTTATTACATCCTAGGAACTTTGGTAGTTATGTGTAAATCTTCCCTTACGAAAATGACTCTCTTTTGAAATCTGTAGGAACCCTACAGGACCAGGCCTCATAAACGGATTAGGCGTTTCCTAGCATGAGCCTCAGATTCCCGAGGGCAATCGCCAATATTAACGAGCCCCACCTCAGATTAACAAGCACAACGTTAAGTCAAGGAGTTATAACAGAATAACTCCTTGGTTAAGTTAACGAACACTGACTTAGCGTTTCCAAGCACTAGTCGTTGATCCGCTTATCTACCCGTTCGGTATGTTCCGTATGAGCCGAAGGTTGTCGAGAACGCATTGCTGCTGTAGTAATACGAGGTATGGATAGTGGAGTAGACTAATGCAGTAGTTTGGTTTGTTTTGAGAATTTATTTTGCTCAAGTTAAAATATTGATACACGGAAACAGATATTTCTGAGTCGGTGAAAATAGTCGATGAATCATTTTTACTTGCATCCTACTCAGTATTTATTATTAGCGTAATCTGAAATCTGTTAGTAATGATCTAGCCACTTTATTTGGCCATGGCGTGGACGTTAAAAATCCTCTCTTTCGTCAAAGAGACAGAAAGGGGAGATAATATTACTCGTTTGCACCCAGAAATCTCTGAAAGTTCCACCGTTATGTCTCTTGTATCTTCCGCCATCTTGAAAATAGTCCTGGGTTGATAAAAAGAACCCGTATGTAAGCAGCCCGGGGAGCCCTATGGAAGCTGAACAAATTGATAGTGCTTGGAAACGCTAAGTTTCTGCTCGCTAACTTTACGTTGTGCTTGTTAATCTGAGGTGGGGCTCGTTAATATTGGTGTTTGCGCTAGGGAATCTAGCTGAGGCTCGTGCTCGAAAACGGCAATTATCGTTTATGAGGCCTGAGGACTCCATGGGACACTATAGGAATTTTATCGAACGTCCTTTATAAGATTCCTATGTAGGACATGCGTCCTTTTGGACCCAAAATATACTGGGTTCATTTCCTAAGGACGCCCTGTGGGACCCTATAGAATATTTCCGTGACTTTAAATAAATGCAGTAAGAGGTTTTTACCCTTTTTGCTGTTTCTCTGTATTTTAGCGCTAATTATTTTCTTATGTTTTCTTGTGTTGTTAATCGGGGTTTTTTACATTACAAACTTGATGATTTGTATTTTATCATTACTAATATAATTTTACTTTTATACCAGTTTTAAAATCTCGGAAAGAAACCTATTTCTGAAGTATATTTTACATGTATATTAGCATAATGGAATTTTAATCAAGGGTTGGAGACCTGAAATTGCAGTTTGCTTGAATGAAGGATTAACATATGGTGCTTTGTATAATATACTTTGATTGACAGTTTAATGCCTAATTTAATATATAAAGTGTAATGAATGTATAAATAATTCGGCAGTATCATGGGCGGTCAGTGGGTGGTAGTCGTACTTGAGCATACCTATTCTTGCAAATAGCTTCTCTTTTTATTCCTGTTTTACACGTGTTTGTACACAGGGATTTTTTTCATTGCCTACAGTTGAAAGAAAAAAAAAAACGATTTAAAATGACTAGAGTGTCGTGGATGAAGTTTTGTAATCGTTTTTGCTTGTTTTAATAGAAATAAAAGTGTATGACAAAAATAACTTACTATAATGAGATTTTTTATCATCTGACCCGGTGGAAGATTTGAATGAATGTTACCTTAAACTGGTGACGCATTACGCCCTCTCTCGAGCAAAATTATGCCTTTTTTCTTCAGGTAATACGTTGCCTTTTTTAGAGTCCGATGTAAATTGGCGGCCTATGCTGTTTTTTAAAAAGATGAAATGTACAGATTCTTTCAAATTTATTTCCCTGAATTCCTTTCTTTATTAACAACTAGAAATAGAAAAACATGACAAAATGAACATAACATGCTTTGAAACTAATTTTTACGGAACAAAAACTTTAAAATATTGATATAAAATTAAAAAGTAAATTTCTGTACATGTTGTATTATTAAATAAGGTGTTTGTACAAAAGATCCATACGTTTCCTTTGGGTTTCGAGTTTTATTCTAAATAAACTGAAAGTTATGTGATGTTGAACAAATCAATTAAGACAATGAAATAATATATCTGCATCCCAATTACAAGTCAACTCTGTAAATATGCACTTATTCAAAATATCGATTAAAATAATAATAAATCATGCGCTATAAATTTGACTTATTGAATTTATAATTATTTCTACTCGCTGTTATCTGTATAGAGACATAAGTTTATGTGATAACAAACGGGCTTACTTGAGCAATTAATATAACGCGTGCAAAATGTGGATTTCTTGCAGTGTTTTTTAAATATCTTAAGTCCGTGCAATTCAAACGTGACACTTTGGCATTGTGATTCGTAAAGAATAGCAGATGTATGGTGCTCAAAAGCAGTATTTGTCAACCGATCAACAAACAAACTGGTGTTTGATGCGCATTGAATAAGAGGTTGCATACAGCACATACAGTTTAAATACACATGACTGCACGTATATACAGTGTATATTGTCTACAAATACATTGCATCGGTTGACAATACATAAAAATTTAATGTATGAGTATACAGAAAATGGTATTTGCTTTGTAAGGTAAAATAGGCCTGCTATTAGAGGCGTTCACTTTACGGAAATGTGGTATTTTTACGGTAATTTTAAATACTTCCTATATACATGTGTCAATATCTATCATTCCACAAATATTGTGAGTTTTCAATACAATGCGTATTTAACAAATTTCATCTAAAGAATTGAGTCATTATACAAAGTTATCCGTTTTTGAATCAGTTCCCTTACCAGCAGGATTTATGACACCAAAACGGATTTCAGAAAATTTTCAAATTCTTTCCTCCTGGTTTACTAAATTAAATGCAAAAGAACAGTAATCCCCTGTGTTGATTCATCATGTTTACAACGACGTGCGTACTTCGCTGTATCCTATGTTGTCAATTCCTCCAGGATGGGCACTGGAAAAGAAAGGCAGATCATGATGCTGAAAATGTCGTAACGGAGGCAAAAACTTTAAATAACATTTTAAAAATATTTCTAAAAATTCAATGTGGTTCAACACATGCACACCCGTGATTTGCGGCCATCTTAACAAATGAAAAATGAAACACAAGAAGATTTTGAAAATTGCTGTTTGTGTCCTTATATTATTTTTAAGCTAATTAAAATTACCATTTTAACGCTGAAAAATCTTCAACTCACTCATTGGTCTTGGAATCATTCACTTCATTCACAGTAGACGCTGATTGCCCGTCATTCACCCTACCCTCGCTGAACGTGCTTGTGTTGGTGTAGTGGTGTGCCTCGGTGCCCCTCTCGTCCACATCCGGGCCCTGCATACCATTCTGAGGCAGCTCCGAGGGTCCAATCTCAAAGCTTGCCATATGAAAGCCCTCCTTTTTTCTAGATACATTAGAAATAGAATAGAAATATACCGATTAGTGTCAATGTCAAGGGTTATTATCTGAAACATTAACACTTTTATTGATATTAATGTCAAGCAAAAATAAAAAGAAATGACCAGCAAACATGTGTAGATTTGTTAGATTCGTTAGGTTACGTTACTACTTCGTTTAGATACTTAAAATCGCTTACAGTAAATTCGCCTTGCGTTTACTTTTTTGGTACAGTTGAGCAACTTTTCAAGAGCATGCGAGCAATGTTTTTTTGTTGTTTTTTTTAATTTTGGATATATGATCTCGGCAAATGATTAATATTTATATCTACTTAACTGATGCAAGTTTTAAGACATCAAAAACCTCACAGAAATACTTTCCTTACTTTGAATTTCTTTCTCTGAGGGCTTTGATGACCGTGATGCTTATAAGGACCAGGAGGAACGCTCCCGTAGCAATTACAGCTATAACCCATCCTTCTAATGGTGCCGCGGCCTCTGTCGGGGTTGGAGCAGGCAGCACTGATATCTAAAATTTGTGTTTGATTCAAATTTTATCTGTCGTAGGCCTATTTTCAATATTCATACGCACACATTCACTTTTTTTTATTTGCATTTAATGATTCCCAATACCTTCACTCTCACTACCCGCAAGTAATTAAACAGCTCAACTTGATTAGCGACCACTGTTAAAGGATTTACATATGCACGTGCACACATAACATAAACTATCCTTTTTTTCTAAAACAATAAAGGGAAAGGTAATAAATACGATCTAAGATGAAAATTGCTTGTAAAAAAGGCACTAGTTATGATCAAAACTTCTAAATTACAAGCAGTTATCCAAACGTTTAAACCAATGTTCTCGAATTCTGCGTGCGGGTCATTGCTACACAGTAACCATACGCCCACTCATTTGATGCTTACATCCAAACGGGCTTACTTAAAATGCACCGTGCAAAATTTCCATTAACCTTATCATAGCCACGTTCTCACTTACCATGTCGGCTTTCAACTTTTCTGATGTTATTATCATGTCTTTGAGCTGTGCGCTTGTCAGTGCTACATTATTTTCGCTTGAGCCCTCTATGTAAAATTCCACTGTTTTAGCAGCGCCCTCTCCGACAACACTCAAGATAACAATTTTGTCTGCTCTGTAATGTAAACATACGTTAATCATAGTTAGAAAGTGATAGAACTGCTCAGTGATAAAAATGAGACGACAATACGAGAGAGAGAGATAAAGAGAGAGAGAGAGAGAGCTCTATTAGTTTCTACACTTACGTTAGGCCTGTGTGATTACAATTATTTTTTGGGTCCTCGCAATAGGTTACGGCTTCGTTTGCTATAGTTGTTTTGAACTTTTCTTCATTGTACTGAAAGAAAATTTTGTGATGAGGGATGTAATCTAATGAAATACTTTATTTTGAATAGATGCCATTACGTATATCTCGTAATCACCGTGTTGACCATATTCTAACAAATTGCAAAGGCATAAAAGCCGAAAACAAGGACGCTTTTATCTTTTTATTAGCTGATCAATACTGATGCCACGGAGACTTAATTTGTTACAATTTCTAATGATACGTTAACAAGACATCACATAAATGTACTGTAAGATGAATTAGCAAACCTACAAAACCTACATTGGAGACTTGTACTTTGATTGCCCCCTTCTCTTTGGCATCTTTATTTGGTGATTTCGTTGGTGTTGCTGGTTTAGGGGTGGATTTTGTTTGGGTAGGAGACTGTGATGCTGTCGGAGAAGCTGCAGTGCTTGTACTCATGCTCATGCTTTCACTTTCGCTTTGGCCTGGATTCATCGATGTGGACGTTGACGGCATTTCACTGGCACTAACCAGGGCTGTAGTTGAATAAGCCACTGAAGATAAAGCTGTAGAGGGCAAAGAAGATGGATCTGGGCTTTCAGACGAGGACATCGCTTGCGTAGTTTCAACACTCATTGAGGAAGCCAAAGATGTCATGGTCTGTGTAGTAAGTTGACTCGTAGTAGACGAAGAAGAAGCCGTGGCTCCTACGCTATTAGACGAAGGCATCGTTATTGTACTTTTATCAGTCACAGAAGAAGTCAAAGATGTCATTGGATGTGTAGATTGTTGACCCACGGAAGAGGAGGAAGGGATATCTGTGGATGCTTGCACTGATGAAGATTCTGAACTAGTCGTCATACTCGTGTCAACAGGCGAAGCATCTCCCGGTTGGGAAGACTGCGATGGGATGGCCTGTGTAGTTTGTACAGCACTCGACGATACATCCTGTGTAGACGTACTCCCTGCAATTGTTACATGTACAGTGCATTGAATAGAAATCATTTTTCTGTACTTTTGTGTAAGAAGTTACATATCGCGAACAGGGAATAAAAGAATGCCAAATAATCAACCTTTACAAGAACGGCTCTTATCTAACCTGATGTTGTTGACTTAGTTTAAGAGATCTTGGGTTTTGTTAGCATATTTGATAACAACTAACAGGGATAAAGACTTGAATATGATGGTAAATGCTTGCTAAGGACAAGAATTTAGAAAAAATACTGCTTTTAGAAGCACTCACTAACTCTGTTCACCACCGGCGTTGCACTGTTTTAAAGTGGGTAACAAGTAATTAACTTAAGTTGACCTTGCACCAAGATAAACTTGTACTTTTCGTGCAATGAATGATTATTATGTGTCTTACCTGAAAAGCCAGCTTTACAAAAGAAAAAAAGTCAAAATAAATAAAACATTTTAGCTGTTATATGTGTTACTGGTATTTTTTACTAAAAGAGTACGTGCTAGAATTGGCAATAGAATATTGGCTTTTTTCCAAGAAATGTAACAATTGACTTTGGATAAGATTGAGTAAACAAACAAGTATCGCATGGGTACTCCAAACTTTTTGACATTTCGAGTGTTAGCTAAACAGTAAACGGGCTTTGAATCCTGTTTTATGAGGCCAGGGTTGCCTTAAAGTTACTTTCCGTACTTAAGAGTATACACGCGGGTAGTTCTGGAAACATGGAAGTTCAGTTCCATTTTCTAAATGTCGACAATCCTGCGGATAATGCACGTGTTACAACAGCAGTTACCTCTATATTAGCTAATTTCGTGTTACATTAATGTACTTATCAACATTCAAGATACAGATGCTAATACGTGTATGAGGAATGTTGGTTTTCCTGTCATACGTTTTAAAGATGGACCATAGGATTTTTTTTAATTTTGCAATTTGTGACAGCTATTTTACTAAATGTTAATCTCACGATCCGACAAGATCTTTTCGTTAATAAAACGAAGAAAACGAGCCCAATAGACAGAATGAAAATGAAGATAAACGCCTAGAGGTTTGTTGCAGGGGAGGGGGGGGGACTTAACGCTTTTTGTTTCCTGTAAAAATAACAGATAGAAACATAGCACCTTAGTTCGCCCCGTCTATGTCACGGTTATCTTTATGTTTGGTCTATCACATGCCGGATTAAGATAACTGAAGTACACCTCACCGTGTGACTCAAAGGTGCCATTGCTACACCCACTGCAAAGTAAACAAATAAATAAAGGATACTGAACATTTTAGCAGCAGTATATTTGCCAACAGTCCGAATGGTCATTTTGGTAGAGAAGATAATTTGGACAGGTCTGTTTAGTAACACAAGCATCTGGAGGACAGCGATTTCTGATAAGGGTTTTATTAGGTTTGGAAATTGCGTGTGGTGGGACCTAATAGTTGATACAAACGCACCTTGTAACATACACCCCAAGCATTTCGTGACAACGGTTTTCAAAAGTGCCCGTCCTGCTTCCAATATTAAAGTAGATCATTTTGACGGCCATTATTTGTCTAGAAAATGGAATTTATAATTAATTTTTCATTTCTGTATCAATGAATGAAGCTGGCACAAGGCAATGTTCTCTCTTTAAAGTACATTAAGGACCAAACGATGAAATAGAAATGTAAATAACCAACCATTTTTTTTTTGTAAAAAATATACATGTACCATGGGCTTTTTTCATTCATCAGAGAAAAGACTTCCGATACATTGCAACCACTTTTTCTAACAGAGCTTTTGTCAGTAAGTCCTAGAAATGACATTTCCAAAATTTGCTGTTACACGGTATGGGTGTGGTAGCAAATTGTCAGTAATTTCTGACCCAATTCTTTCTATTTGCCTTAGCTAAAATCGTTTAACCGAAGTCAATAAGCAAGTGATAAGGCCAGCGAATACATACCTGTGGCAGTAGAATTGGTTTGACAACATACTGGTGAAGCGCCTAGTGCAGCCAAACACACAACTATCAACAGTTTGGCGTACATATTATTGCAGATGTTCCAACTGTTACTCTTCTGCTTCAACAGACTGGCTTGTACGGCCACGCTCCTAAGACACGAATTTTGATATATTCTCTAATAATACGCCGCCCTATTCGAGGACGCTGGTCTATTTCCAGTTGTCTTGCTTGTTACGATCTGCTCTGTAAAGTGCTTTGTGCTGTTAAGTATAACTTTCTCATGTAGCCCTCCAGTCCAGATGGCTTGCTTGTAATTCTGAAACGGATTCAATTTACAGTTGTCTTTATCCTGCAGTTTACTGTCGTCTGACTTTGACAAAAATAAACCAACAAATGATCAGCAAGTGCGGCAATGTGTACGTTATCAGTGAACTAACCCCACCTAAACCTCAAGTATCGGTATCATGACGCACCGCTCAAAGGAAGAAATGTCTCCAAATTCAGATGACGTCATTGATAAGGAGTTGACAAATTAGCATAAAATCGGGGTGCCAAAAGTATTGACCGGTGAGTGGAGATATTGGTAGGCGCTTATCATTACGGTAGCTTCGAATTAGGTTGCATTTCCGTTGTTTTGCAAGGAAATAAGGTATTCAAAGTTTTTTTTAAATTAAAAATTCAAGCTTGTGCCTGTGTGTTTAAACGCAATATATATGAACGATAAAGGCTCTTTTAAACGTAGCGACATACATATGAAATAAAAAGCCGCAAAAAATTTCCAGATCTGCGAGTCGTGTGCTTAATGTTACTATTTTGGCAGCAAATTAGATTATAATCGAAAGCGTCTATCCTGTTTTCATTAATAAAATTACTGACAAAAATCTTACAAATTGACCGAAGGTTGATTATATAAAAGCGAGTTGATTGGGGTTTGCTCCCTGCATACTAAAGACTGATTGTTTCGCGTCCTGTTTCCTAAATTAAATCTAAAGCTTAAGGTAAACGGATTCAGAAAATTGAAAACAAGACAAAAGAAAACAAAACAAAACGAGTGTCTCCATACAGGCCCGTAGCCGGGGGGGGGGGGGGGGGGGGGGGGGGGGGGGGGCAAAAAAACCCCCCC